ATCAGCAAACTTGCTGATAGTACACTCAAGCATAGTAAAAAAGTGGTGATACCAGTATTGCTGCAGCAGGTACTAACACTGTCCAGGTTTTGGAATAAATATCTTCTTACCAGTACATACAACAGGAATTGGCCTTGGTTCAAGTAGACCTAATCTGATCTACTTGAGGCTGATATTTGTTCTCAATCACATGGGTTTACCAGTCTGACTACAGCCAGTGACTGGAAAGAAGCTATCATGTTTTTATAATCGCGGGTAGCAATTGGCATGGTTTCTAGAGAACCTCACGATATCTATTTTCTACAATTCCTGAATGAACCTGAAGTGCCAAAGGGCACTATTCTCCAGCTCACTGGCATCTCCAATAAAACAGTGGAGAAAAAAACATTTCCTGGTTTTGGACCACAAATATTGCAATTGGAAAAATCAGGAAATGTCCCTGTGGGAGAACAAAAAGTTAATTGTGCACCAACCTTTGCATCCATCAAATTGTAGATGGCAGTGGAAATAGCCTCTTTATTTATACTAGTCAAAATTCCATGTAGAAGGTCTACACATTCTGCAGGGGGAATAAATAAATATAAATATAAATACCACATTGCATATGAAAATGTGCATATACTGAGGCTTTAATGTATTGCAACTAACTTTATTCTTATGTTGAGTAGCTAGATGAACTATATGAAACCAGTTTAATACAACTTCCACCTCATAACTCCTCTTGGTTTCCTTTTTGAACCGATTTTAGAGATCAGTTCCAGTCATGTTAAAATCACATCTTCTTAAATGTTCATACAGATGCAGTGGACTTGCAGAAGGTCTACATGGCTATAAATGTCTCACTACAAAGCTATATGCAAATTGCTTCCTCAGCACTTGCGTATTTCAACTTTGAAAATTTGCTCGGAAGCCCTCAAATATCACAATTTTAACATTTCTCTGCTATCTTTCTAGAAACAGAGGATAAACGTAACAGTTCCACTAAAGTAAACAATGATCACACACTTCAGAAGGGAACTGGTTACGCATTGAAGTCAAGACAGGTTGGTATTTGTTGAAGCAGTATACATATAGCTGACAATATCCCTTCCTTTATTTGTACTCACTTTTACTTTATACCAAACACAATTTTGGAGATACATGTGCCACCTCTGGTAGGAAGCTTCGGTTAGAAAAAGCATCTATGGCACTCTGATGATTTGAAGACTGTTTTGCCTTCCACATCAGCTGTTTTGTTTTAGAGTACTAGATTGATGTTCCCACCAAGAGTATCTCCATTATGAATCCTGCAAAGAAAGCAAATCCATAATGTCACCTGCAGTACGTGGTCTGTAGTCTGGTTCTTGATGCCAGCACAGAGCGATAAAGTGCAGCAGTCTATTCCTCTCAGGAAAATTGCTTGGTATAAAGTTTTCTGAAATGCCAGGCCGCAAACTGCTGCAGATTCCTGTCAAAACTTCCAGCAGGGTTGTCTGACCTGCAGTTTATAGGAAAATGTCACTGCCAAAAACACTAAATACATCAGACCTCTCTTAGAATTATATTCAGCATAAGTTATTTTGTGTATTTTAAAACAAAGAGTGCTTTTAAAACTTAAAATAAAGACTATATTAACACTTCAGTGAAATAGATGTGGTACCCTTTAGCAATAACATAGGTACTTATTGCAACAGGCTATAGCAGAATAAAGAACTCTGTTCAAATAATTAGTCACAAATGGCTACGTATACATGTATTGTAAACTACATGCACAGATACCTCCGGCAGGCATCTAATTTTTATGAGTATATTCTATACACTCAGTTTTATATAAAGCCTTAATCCTGCATTCTAAGAATATAATGCCTGTTGTACAAAATGCAAAACAAAAATCGACTTTGGGCAGCCACAAGATGGCAGCCACAAACTGGATGAACATGAAGATACTGCTCTATGCGGTATTTCTAAAAGGTCCTCAGTCTGTAAAATACAGGAGTCCTTCCGTTTTGGAAGGGCAGAACAGAGCCCATAGCACAGAATCCTTTCAGTGACCTCCACCTCCATGAAACAGGGATCATTCCTAGACTGTGACAATTGTTACACAATGCTTTGCAAACAGAGTTATTTAAAACTGCTGACACTTTCGTCTAAGAAAGTAAGATTCCCTGCTTACTTAAGAGAATTCATCACGAACTGGCATTTCTTGATCAGGATTTGAAACTCATGGCAACTTTAAAAATGAACATTCTGCTCATCCAAGTAGCTGCTTGTGACAAAAACGTGCTATTTTTCTCACTAAAGGTAAGCAGAAAGCCTAACTCAGTGACAGAGTGGTTCAGCAATCACAGAGCAATGATACAAGTGGAGTAAGAAGCTATTCCTTTCCTCTGCAGAAAGATCAGCTTCTCTGGAAACACTGAGGATTTGTTGAGGGATTCTAATCTTTACATCCCATATTGTGTCCAGTTCTGGGCCCCTCAGTTCAAGAAGGACAGGAACTGCTGGAGAGAGTCCAGCGTAGGGCTACAAAGATGATCAAGGGAGTGGAGCATCTCCCTTATGAGGAGCGGCTGAGGGAGCTGGGTCTCTTTAGTTTGCAGAAGAGGAGACTGAGGGGAGACCTCATTCATGTTTATAAATATTTAAAGGGTGAGTGTCACGAGGATGGAGCCAGGCTCTTCTCGGTGACAAACAATGATAGGACAAGGGGCAATGGGCACAAGCTGGAACACAGGAGGTTCCACTTCAATTGGAGAAGAAACTTCTTCTCAGTGAGGGTGACAGAGCCCTGGCCCAGGCTGCCCAGAGAGGTTGTGGAGTCTCCTTCTCTGCAGACATTCAAAACCTGCCTGGACGCCTTCCTGTGTAACCTCATCTGGGTGTTCCTGCTCCGGCAGGGGGATTGGACTGGATGAGCTTTGGAGGTCCCTTCCAATCCCTAACGTTCTGGGATTCTGTGTGATTCTGTAATGTGGAGGTATGTGCTGTAAGACTGATATAAGGCAAAGGGACATCTGAAGACAGTGCTGTTTGTATCAGTTTCCCTACGATAAGGGAATTTGTGAAAAAGATTAAGGCAACATGAAGTCTGACATGAACAACAGAGATAAATACCTTCAAAAGGTTTCCGTCTGCTCAGGCTCTCCCAACACAGTATTCCAAAACTGGAGGGAAAAAAAACCAAACAGCAGCAAAAGACCATTCATTAGTTTGCAGTCCACATCTATGTTCTCTTTTCTAAGAGCAAGTTTCTTGGTTTAAGAGAAAGGAGTTTGTCCAAGACAGAGGCTAAGTCTTTCCTAATTTAATTAGGTTATTTTTCCTGCATTATTAAGTTTCAGTTTTCAACTGAGCTGTTCTTATAAAATCATAAATCAGTTAGAATTAAAACTTTCTAATTTTTTTTTAAAACATAGGATCAATTAGAATTACAGTTCAGGTTACCACCTTATCTCCATTTGCTCTGATGAATCTCAGAACCTTCTGTTCTCCTTTCTCTATCAGTTTTGTTTTGTTTTCAAGGAATTTAAATAGCAAGTGAAAGAGCTGGAGTTTTCAGCAGGTACTGACTAGTGCATCAGTTAACCTACCAAAAACTTATTGTGACCCACTGCATCTCTATTGTCTTCAGCAAATTTTGACGGAGGTCCAAATGCCTTATTAGTTTTCTAACATCCTAGGAAGTATTCCAGTTGTACCATAGATCTACATATATAAACCACAACTCAGATGGTGTAAAATACAGTTTGATTAAAAGCTCAATCTGCAAAATCAGGGGCAGAAGCAGGGAAGAGAGAAAATGAGTGAGTCAGAAGTAAAGCGATTGAAAGGGGAAGAAGCAATTCTAGGGTAAAGTTACTGCTTACTCAGGTGTCTTGCTGTAGTGCTGAATTAGTGTTTAAAAGTACCTCCTTTTGTGCCTTACTTCCACATAAAATCTGAAAGTGCTTTTACTTAAGCACCCTCTAGGGAAGTATTCATGTAATGTGGACACACATGGAACTTACCTGTACTTAAATAATATTTCATATGTGACACATACTTTTGTTTTCCCTGTTGCACCACCATCTAGACATGCACCTGTCCCATGCACTGAGTCACATCTGAGCATCTAAAATTATTTAAGACTGACATGCTGGAAGATAAATTACGCTACCTGAAAGTAAGCCACCACTCTTCCTGTGCAAATATATTGTGTTTATGCTCAACGCTGGATTAGTCACATCATTTACAGGTCTCCTTAAGTGTGTGCATTATTTGACTCATCTTAGAGCCCGCCTCTGTGACAGTAAAGCAGGAGTTTAAATTTATTGCTTCCATAAAATCTCTGAGAAAACAAGAGTGGTCATGCTTATAAGTTATTTCTGTCAGTCCATAGGCCCCATGCTGGTTATAAGGATGAACTTCCTTACAGGCAATAGTTGCAGTTTAAGGTTGTCTCATTTATTGAGGCAAATATGAAGCCATAACATATCCAGAAGGGAAATGTGGCAGTAAGTAATCTTCCCCCTTTGTATAAATGACGTTAGTCAAAAAGTAGGAATGCTTGAGTGGCTTAGTGAGTTATTCTAGAGAGATTCCATAGGACCGTAACGGGACGCTATGGAGAGGTCTTATTTTCACCTGGGCCTCATCTAGGCATCGCCAGTTCTTCCTGAATCTAAAGCCCACAACAATTCACACTTAGAAACCACGTGAATTGTAGTTATTAGATTTATAAATGTATATGGAAACATTTTGGCAGCTTCGTTACACTTTTTAAACATTTAGGTCCATTATATAGACATTTATATGACAAACTTTGAGAACAGCTCTTAACCTTGGTATATTATTCACCAAATATGAGGAATTTCAAATTTAATTCACTGCTGTAATTGGCCTCATGGAATACCGTCCTACTGCATTATGTAGATCTGGCATTTTTACTGTAATGTCTTTGAAAATGAGTATTTTAGTAACATTCTAGAGTGTAGCAAGGAGTAGGTATGAGCTGACCTGCCCTTAGAAATCCCATTCACCTGTAAATGTCACCTTCCTGGGAAGGAAGGCCTCCTTTAAGTATTTCAGGAGAGAGGTACACTAAGTCCTGGCAGTTTCTCCAATTGCAGTTCTGCAGGTCAGACCTCAGTCGCTGTTTCCTCCACTTGGTTAGACCATAATCTGATATCTACAGAGATGGGAGAAAAAATAAACTATAGTAACAGTACCTCAAGTCCTGGTATTAAATGTTGACTGTTAGGATAAATATATGTAACAGTAGGACCATGACTGCATTTTACATTAATAGGCTAAAGTAGAAGCTCCCACCTTGGCTCTGTACTGCGCATCCAGAAGCACATTGGAAGGTTTCAGGCTGCAGTGGCAGAAAGCAGGCTCAAGGCTATGAAGGTGATGTAGCCCTTCAGCCACATCCAACAGGATCCTTATGAGCAAGGGAAATGGAAGTTCCGGGTACAGTTCGTGCTAAGTAACATAAAATACAGGTTTTGGTAGTGTGAAATAGTTACTATGCACATTTTCATTGAACAATATACAGAAATACAATAGAGAAACTAAAGAACGGATTAACTGTGACTACTGTCTGTAATTTACGTGCTGACTGGTCTCTTTTGGCTGACCTTGTAATTAATTTAACCACGTAAAAGATGACTTCTCTGATGTACCTCATGGATGAGTGAGTGGAGGGATCCGTTGTTCATCCATTCAGTCACTGTCCCCACAAGGCCACGGTACTGGTAAATCCCGAGAGGAGGCAGGAGACGTTCAGACACACAGCGTCTGACATTTGATATATCCTGAAGCAGCAACTTCCACTCCCTGTAAAAAATAGCAAGTTAGAGACAGGTTAGACTGAAGGGAATTTCAGCTAGAGATGAGATAGTGTAGGGTATGGAAATGAGAGAGAACCATATGGTTGAACACAAGCTAACATAATTCTACCAACAAAACCAGGATTGTATCATCTTTCAAACAATTCTAAGAAAATGAAGCAACCCCCTGTGTAGTACATTTTTCTAATATAATGTGAAAGACCTCTGGATGCTTTAGTATGAAAACAAGAACACAGTTTAAAGCAGGATGGAAATGCAGAGGCAGGGGAAAGCTGAATTATATGAAAAGCTAGGTTAAGAAAAGTCAAGTGTTTTTTCCCCTTAGTATCTCCAAGAACTTGTATCCTTTTGCTATTAGCGAGATCCCCATTTGAAAGGAAATTATGATCCTACATGCTTATCTTATGGGACCATGTTATATAAACAATAGATAACCTTATAGCATGATATAAAAGTGAAGCCAAATTCAGTAGTGCCACTCCGGTGACTTTGCCAAATTTGATTTAAGCTCAACTGTGGTTGGATTGTAGACCTGAATTCAAACAGAATTTATTGACAGAGAATAACAAAGCTTTGCTTTGATCATCATCTGAAGAATAAGTTTTCCTTGTTTAAGGTCTACAAACAGTTACTGCTACTACTGCAGTTACTTCTTTGTGCATAGGAAACACTGAACTGTCAATTCAATTGTGAATTTTAATGGAAATAACTGAAGTTCTGTTACAGGTTCGGTTTTTGTTAGTCATATGTTTGATTTTAAAGATCTGATTATCTCTATGGCACTTGTGAGCTGAAAATTCAGTGGAATTCATCCAAAATTCAGTTGATTTCAACAGGCCTGGAGCTCATTCTCATTATTCTCAACTGCCTTTACATTGAGACTTCAGTTTCAGTGTACTGTCTTGATTCACAAGCCTGTAAACTAATCACTGAAAGTAATTCCTAGCCCCACCAGTTTTTAACACTTATTTCCACAAACCTAAATATTTATCAGCAGGACACAGTTAAACGTTCTGTGGGAGTAAAACAGTTTATTCTCTCAGCTTTCCTAAACTGTGTAGTATAAACAACAGATCAGAATTATGAAAAGAGAGAGAAAAGCAGAACAGTGGCTTTAGTTTTAGGGAGCGAGTTTGAATGTAAAGCTGCCAAATCAGGGTAGCGTGTTGAATTCAAAGCTACGTAAAATGTTGATTTCTGTAACTTTAACTTTTTTGGTTTGGGGTTTGTTTGGTTGGTTTAAAGAAAATGTGGACAAGGGACAGAGGAAACTTTTCTTTATAGACAAGCCACCAAACAAGTAACAGTTGTTTTACTTGTTAAATTTTTTACAATATTGCAGAGTTGCTGGACTTCTGTTGTCTAAAAACCAAGCAATCCTACCCCCAACCACAAAAAAAACCCCCGCTTAAAATTTTTGACTGTTCCCAAATTCTGACAGCGTTTGGTTTTTGAAGCATCACTGACAATTTAAACTGTCTATTTAAAAGTATTTGTAAGAAATACTGGGTTTTCCTCCCCTGTCTGTAAAACGGAACAAATTAAACACTACATATTCCTCTAGGACACTCCTGGCTTTTAACAAAAGCCACTTGGATGGCAGCATTCTGAGTTAACAGGAGTAGCTAGGCCATAGATGCACGTCAGACACTCCGTTTTTGATAAACAGTCAGGTCGGTGCATCACTAAAATGCTTTGGTCTTGCTTCATCAGAAGTAGCTTGTGGCTGTTCTCGGAAACCTTCTGTGTTTTTATTGCACACTGGAATTTTGTGGTCAGTAGGCTCACGCCCATCAGTTACTGCTCATTTCATTTTATAATTAGGATACGTACACATCTCTCTGCCCGTAACCGTGGTCATTATCCCTCCCTCCTCCCTTTGCTCTGCTCCCTCACCTGTACGTGCTGATTTAAATTAAATTGAACCAAGATCTCTTCAGGGACCTCCACCTCCAGAACGATGTAATACTGAGCATGCTGAGTATTACTAATCAGGGTTTGTAGACATTATTATAGCAGAGATCTTTAATGAATAAATTTATAAAAATTGTTAAAAAACCATAGAGCTTCTTTCTCAGTCTAACTCCTTCCAAGTTGCCTAGGCAGTATTTCTGGGAATGGAGATGTGTTTAGGGCTCAGATGATCCTGAGCACACCACAATTCATTCTGGTGCCATCGCTGCAGGTCTGTGGTGCCCGCTGCGTGCTTAGTTGGCCAAATAAAGCGCGTACCTCTCTGTAGTGTCCTGTCTGGTCAGCAGCTTCACCGAGATGTGAGTGTTCCAAGAAGTATGAAAGGCTTTGAGTGCAAAGCCTGGGCCTGTCCTGGTCAAGGTAAAGCTCTCCAAATCCTCCTGGACTACTACAGGTAATGAGTTGGCCATTTCTTGATGGCTGCCTTGGGGGGAAAATATAGCAGAAAAGATTTAAGGGCTACTTTTTGTGACTACTACCAAAGCAAGGTGAAGTTGTACCACCTCTTACTTCTCAGATAAGTATTGCCCTAATCCAACAGGCTTCCTTTTACCACACTGTCAGACTTTCCTTACAAAGACAGGAAAAACACTCTAATTGCAAAGGAGTGTCTGGACCATAACTTGCCATCTGAGACTGCCAGGTACTAATTTAATTGCTCATTATTATTTTCATCTGATGACTTTGAAATGCTGAGCCATTATTTATAACATCAAATGGGATTTTAAAGTGCTACTGAATTATGCAGACAACAAACTAGTATCTTACAGTTACATGCTAGACCAATATAGTTTCCCTGCTTCTCATAAAAAAGCAATTACTCGATAACTCATGTAAGTGTGTTCTGCATCATTCTTGCATCTCTTCTTTAATAGAACATCACATATCAATGCAAAAGTAAGGTAAATGGCGAGTTCCCTGCTCATGTAAGCTGGCAGAACTCTGCTAAATGGAGTTAGTTCTTCATAGCAGCCACTAATTTGGCCAATACTAGTTCTATACGGTACCTCTCTGGGGCCATCTGAATGTCTCATGCACATCGCATGGCAATGCACATGGATTAGAGAGAACCTCTGCAAATCATCACTGTGTTACTACGTAACCAACATTTTAAATTACATCTACGAAGCTACATTAGACTAGAGATAACCAAAAGCCAGTGATGAAAGAGGAAAACAAGCAAGCTAAGGAAACAGATGAGATAAAACCATTGGTAAGGATTACTGCAAGGTCAGTGAGTCAGGACAACTCGAACTGGAATACTCCCTTTAGGGTCCACTAGACCAGGGCTAGAAAAGGAAACACATGGGGAAACTGAAGTAACAGGTCCAAAAATTTGAAGTAAACAGTGTGTTGAGTGTGAACTGTGACCTTCTAGAAGATGGGATCCACAAACAGAGCTGCTGAGATGCAGAAGGCCTGAAAGTCTTCTGACTTGGAGCAGATCACTTGTTTTCCATGAGTAAAATAGAAACAAAGCCCTGAAGATAAATTAGCCTACGCTCATGGCTGAACTGCTTCTAGTTCATGAGCAGTTAATTTTTGGTTCATCTCAGCATCTCAGCTGTGCTGTGAAGGCACCTTCACAATCACAGCTGAACTTTTTGCTTTTTGTTAGATCATTGTAGTTTGAAAGCAATAGCTGCCTTAGGTGCCTCACTTAGAGAACCCTTAAAGAGGAAATCCAGTATGGTATGGGGCTGACAGACAGGTTAAGAGTTCAATGAAATTTGAAAAGATTCCTTTGAATGAAGTTAAATTTCCTAATGAGCCATTTGTCCTTTAAAGTTGCAAAGACAGTCCATACAGATCTGCAAATCCTAAACATAAAGGAGGTAATCAAAAAGCTGGCAGAAAATAAATTAGGTTTTATTTTTATTGCATACTATGACAAATAATAATTTAAATAGCCAAAGTAATTTACTCAACTCCAAATATAGTACTAGGAAGATCAGACAATGAATACAGGATCCAAACCATTCCTGAAAGTATCTATTTCTATTTAAAATGGAATCAAGTAAAGCTATAACAGTTTTTAATCTCTTGCTAACTGGCTACTTACATAAAAATAAAAGCTAGCCATCAGCTCCTATTTTGGATTTTCGAAACCTAATTTAACTAGAGGTTTTCTGAAAACAAAAATGAAAGCCACTTTGATCTTTCTCTGTCACAAAGCATGGCATGCCAAGCACCACTGTCCCTGTGCCTGGGTTTATACATCTGTTTCCACACCTAGATTTAGGGTGATTTGCTGATAATCCCTGAAAGATTTTAATCCTAAATTGAGAGATCTTTTATTTATCCAGGGTGCCACCCAGATTCCTAAAACAGTTGGAGGCACTAATCATGGAATATGTGACTATCATGGAATTACAGATAACAAAATCTCTCTCTACCCCTCAGATAGCAAGTTTGGTACCAAAGCCTTTTGTTTTTCAATAGTTCTGTTCTTCTGATGCTTTTCCTCCTAGACCTATTTTAAAACTTTCTGACAAACCACAAACCCAATATTTGCAATGAAGAGTTTCGTATTATTTTTTAGCAAGACACTGAAAGTTTCAGGCAACTTTGTAATCTTCACCTAGTTGGGCATGCAAGAGTAGGAGGGCGACTGCTGTGAAGCCATTTATTTCAAGTTTCTAAATTTAAAGCTAATTTTTAAAAAGTAATTCATAGCGGAGATATTTTCCTTAGTATGAGAGAAACTATGTTGTGTTAATATTCCAGTGTCTCAGCAAAGGAAATTGGAAACAAAAATCAACTTACCTCTGGAAATATGGGCATAAAAACTATAGAACGATGGAGCGAAACTGCTGCGGATACCGGCTGTGAACTGCATTCAAACACAGCTCAAGCTTTCCTGCCGGTGAGTCAGCTGCGTTGTTGATCTCTCCTTTTATTGGCTGCCTGCAAACATCTAAAATTTCCTGGTCGGGTATACAAACTGTAACTCTTTAGTGACTGCAGATGGGTTTTCACAGGCAGTTTTGTTAACTGCTTGTAATCAATGAGAGCTATTACAGAAAGAGAGTTTGGATAGCTGCTTTTTCCACAAATAGGAATGCCAAGAGGGAAAGATATATAACAGTGAAAAAACCCATATTGGATACAGCCTAGATATGGAAGCATGCAGAGCTGCATGCAGGTTGTGCAGCTGATGCTTTTCTCTGCAGTAGATCAAGCCAACAGCACAAGCAGGAAATCCCTTTAAACTTTTTAATTCAAGTTGATCTTAAAACAGGATGAAATATGCTGGTTTTCTGGTTAGAGGGTAGGTAAGCATAGGGGAAATAGTAGGGTACAAAGAAGAAGTGAGGATGAATTGGCTGTCAAGCAGCTACTTGAAGACCAGTTATGAAGACAGAGCCAAATTCTTCTCCATCGTGGCAGGTAACAACCAGTGGCATGGGCAGATGTCTCTACTTCAGAGGTTCAGCCAGATGCTAGAATTTTTTTTCACCAGGTGAAATGTAGTATTGGACTGGGCCACTCAGTCTCCATCCTTTAAGGTTTTCTAGACTCACCTAGGCAAAGCCATTGCTGACCTAATCCAGCACGGCTGCTAGTCCTGCTTTGAGGAGGAGGCTGGGCTAGAAAATGCCAAAAGTGCAGAGGATCTTTAATTTTCTGAAAACTCTGTAAGGCCTAATTGTGTTCCTGCCAGGCCCCAGCATATACATTCACACTGAAGGTTGATGTGACTGCTGGATGCAGGGTGGAGATTTTAGGAGAAGGCAGTCATTGAAGTCGATCACATTTATTCAGACTTTCCACTCCACTACGACTGTCCTTACATATAGATTCTGACCTTAAAAAACAGTCAGTGAGATGCTGTCCACAGACTTCTGTTGGTTTTGGATCAAATCCTAACCTCAGCAGGGAGGGAACAAGCAGTAAGGCAGTTACCTAATCCTCCTGTGATCACAGGAAAGTCCCTTATAGCTAAAAATCATGTGGTTGGAGCTCTGTGGCCTGAGAGGAAGCACACCACAAGTAGGAGGCGTGGAGTGTGCCTTCATGTGCAATGCATTATTTCCTGACAGCTGTAGCTATCTGACCAGAATGAGCTTTCTCTGCCCAACACACCCCTGGCAAAAGTGAAATTAGTATGAAGGAGCTGGAGCAACAAAGGCAAAACAAGTGGGATGTAGCAGTGCTGGAAAAGGCTGGAAACATGTCAAGCTGCTGTGGCTATAGGGTCCTCATCCCCTTGGCTTCGATTTACCCACGTTACATTGATTTATGTCCATATTCTACACTTCTGTAAAAAGTACATTAATTTTTTTTTTCCCCTGTTTAAGGTATTATCCTGCCAGGCTCAGACTGTACTGCAGCAGAATTACAGCTGCTCAAAATCCTTACGACTAATTAAAGAAAGTTCTTAGGGGGAGCTTTGTAGGCAGCTTGGACTTAATTTTTTGCAGAAATTCTTTGACACTTAAAGTAGTCTGAGATGCTTCTGTATTTTTAGAATATCACGTGCTGGGGAAGTAGAGTACTAGAACAATCCTGCATTTGTTTACTCCTTTTGACTACTGTAAAAATCCCTCAGTGTAAAACTATGAAGCATAATTTTAATCCGTATTTGGAGAAACCAGAAACATACAGGGCAATTTGCAGTCCAGGTCTGAACTAATTAAACATTATTATTCCCCAACATGTTAATTAAAAAGAATCGGTATTTTACCTACACATAGTTTATCCAGAGAAATGTAAAGTCTCTCACAATAATATTGAAGCTTATAAATGATGGGCAAGGAAAAAAAAATCTATAGCCTTACACAAAGGCTGTCTTATGCAGTAATTAGACAAAATTAAGAAAATTAAATTTTAGTTTGACTGTCAGTAAGTTGTTGGTTTGCTTTTTAAAAAAAAATATGGAAAATGCTTGGAATAAAACCTTCCAGCAAGGAATAATGGGTAAGACAGACATTGAATCTTTCCAGTCTCCTATGCATAGGATTAATTCATTGCCATACGGATAAGTAAATACATAGATACTGGAGAAGTACAGACAACTCTTGCCAAAACCAGTTGCTGTTTGATTCCTAGGGACTCGGCGCTATCGCCAGGGACAGGGAAAGACTGAGATCCTAACAGAAATACCACTGCGTGCACTTCTGACCACACACAAGCAGAAACAACAATGAAGAGGAAGGTAATCCGGAGAGCACTTAGGATGACCAATATGTGAGGGTTTGCAGGATTCCTTATTTGGTGAGGGGATCCAGCCATCTCAGCAGGATTGGAATTACACATAGCAGACAGTGGCTGCAGGAGGAATTCAGAGGTGGCATGTTATTTCTCCTATCTGCATTTGTTCGTGCTAAATGACAGCTCGAGGCTTTCAGAAGAGCCATGGATCTCAAAAAACCCAAAGACCAGTTTTTATTTCATTCACAAGACAAAC